GTTGATGATGATGGTGATGATGATAGTGATGGTGATGATAATGGTGGTGGTGGTTGGGTTGATGATGATAGTGATGATGATAGTGATGGTAATGGTAGTGGTGGTTGGGTTGATAGTGATGGTGATGATTATGATGATGATTATGATGCATTATTCAAAAGCGCACAAAACAAATATAAAAAGAGAAGTATACTAATTGGCCTATTAAATTCTCTGTTAAGGTTGCATTTTACCAAGTCAGCTATGAAATCAAAGGGAATATTAACCACAGAACAGTCTCCAAGCTAAAGGTCTACACAGAGAGTACAAGGGTAACGGGTTTGAGGCCTGGAAGGACGTATTTGATACACATAACRCCACATGATTCTGAACAGAATAAAATATCGGGCTTTGCTGGCCAACCTGTCGAATGTGAGACGCCAGAAGCAAGTGAGTACTTTTAAATGCACACTGGTATTATAAACTAATTACGATTTTGAGACGACAATACCACGAAATATTGACGGCCATTTTCTTCCATTTTCTTCCATTTTCTTTTGTCGTCTCAAAATTGTAATCGCAGCAAGCGAAAAATTTGACGTGCGCGCTCTCAAGCTTTCCTTTTTGTTGCGCGTTAGCCAATCAGAAACTTTAATTTCGAAACGACAATACCACAAGATATTGTCGTCTCAAAAATAAACTATTTAGTGAATCGTGATACTAGTTGATGATATTGATAGGTTTTCAATGAGCTGATTAAAGTCTTTGAATCTCATTATCAGCTCTAAATGGTGTTCAAACACTGACCACCATGTGCTGTCAGCCAGAAAGAATTCTTACCCTATAGGCCTCCTGCAGTAATCGGGATACAGCTCAATTTGGAGRACATAACAATAGGTTTCCAATTCTCTTGAGATTGAAATTATTTTGTTTTGTCCTCCAAATTGAGCTGCTTTGACCTCACATGCAAGGGGTCTATTGAAAACTTGCAATAKAGGCTTTGCATCATCACGTGATGGCAGCCATGACAGGAGGCAGGAACAATTTAATTTGGTCTAATCTGATTTACATGAGAAAGAATTCAGTTTTTCCAGGGGAAAATATTCTCTTGTGCCTCCTGTCATGGCTGCCATCACGTGATGGTGCAAAGCCTCTATTCTGCTTATGAAAATCCGTGGATATTCAAAATCCAATGTCTTTCCTCAGAGCCGGAATCTCCACCAATAAATGTCAAGTTTGAAGTGAAATCTGCAACAGAGTTAAAACTGAGTTGGGAGCCACCTATCAAGCCTAATGGAAAGATCACAAACTATGTCATTCTATACAGTGAAGACAAAGAGCTACCAGAAAAGGACTGGACATCAAAAACAGAAGCTCTGACAAAGTTCTTTGCGAGATTCGAAAAATACGTTACGTCGCAAATAATAGGTTTAACTGCAAATGCCACATACTATCTTAAAATCAAAGCAGGCAATAAACAAGGCTATGGACCATTCACAAATCTTATTAAAGTATCGATGGTCAAGCCAGACGAGGCATCACTAGTCGATGAAGCACCTGTTGTAAGTTATAGATTAAGTTCTGGTACAGCTGTGGAGGTCTCATGGCGTCATGCGGTCACAAGTTTAGGAAAGCCGATCAATTATAGATTGATATACACTGAAAACCCAGAATTGGACAGTTCCATGTGGCTTGAGCTTGTCGTCCCTGTTACATGGGCTATGAGATCTGAGAGAAGAGTTGTTGTACAGTTGCCTAGTCTAATGGCTAATCAGACCTATTATGTGAAGGTCCAAGCCAGATATCCAAATCAGGAGGGGTCGTGGTCAAAGATGTTGAAAATACAAGTAAAAGGTAATGCATAGTTGATTGAGAAAAGAAAGTTTGTAATAAAGAATAGAATATTGGGTTGGTGTAGTGGTTACTACGTTCTTCGTAGTCAAACTATGAAGCAACCTCTGRGTTGATCTAAGTCAGGGCATGGCCAACTCACWGGTCAAACCCTGAAACAACCTCTGGGCTGATCTAAGTCAGGGCATGGCTAACTCACAGATCGAACCCTGAAGCAACCTCTGGGCTGATCTAAGTCAGAGCATGGCTAACTCACAGAT